CCCCCGCCCCGTGTAACTTGACGAAAGAAGCTCCTCTTCCTTCTATCAGTTATGGTCATCAGGTTTTGGAACAATTTGCCTGTGTTTTAGAGGTTATTAAGAGACTTACTGAGGTGTGAGGCCCTTGGGTCAAAATGTACCACAAGACCTTAGTCTTAAAGGGGACATCAAACAAAATCTACTTTTTTAGCCGTTAAATGCATTTCGTTGTGTGCTTGACGTCATAAGTGAAGTGCAGAAAAGTTGAATTTATTCTCTGCCAGTGCTGCATAAATATTTTTATATTCTCTCTGAGTCATATTTTCCAATCCATTCTGTTTTTTTCTACTCCCTGTTACACATTTGTAACTATTGCGTTGCAGTTTTTGCTGCGGAACTGCCAAAACAAGTGCGTTTAGACTTCCGGATCACCAGTTTTGAGAATCCGCAGAGAACTACCAAAAATGGCTGAACGGGGTGGAGGGGTGGCAGGTTGGGAAGTACCTCATTCACATTTAAAGAGACAGCACCAAAAGGAGTTGCTCTCAGGTGCGCCTCAGAAAAGGGGAGGAGCCAGTGGAGCTACAGTAAGGAGGAACTGAGACCAAAGCATTGCAGTTCCACTTTATTTAGATTCAAACTGAATGGTTTAAAAAGGAAGGATTTAAAAGCGCTGAGTCCTCATTGGTCACTTTAATCAGGCAGCAGGATGGTTTATGTTTTTAATTGCTTATGTAGTGTTTGACAAAGATATCCTGTAGTGAGGTAGAGGCAGATTTGAAGCACTTCTCTCATCCTCTACAGGACTACTCAATCCTGAGCTGAGCGGCTCCTGAACCATGCAGTGAGTAGTTGTTGAAAAGGTTATATGGACTGAGGGAAAAACTAGATCTTCACAGCTGCCTCAGGTGATAAAGTCAACGTAAAAGTAGAATATCATAAATAAAAGTACCAGCTTCTGCTAACTCAAATGGAATTTGCTGCCTTTACAAAAAGCTAACCCTAAACTTGTTTTTTTATTCTTTTGAGATTTTTCAAAAATTGTAAATGCAAATGTAAATGCTTTTGGATGTATCATTTCTTTGCTGCACTAATTCGTGTAAAAATAGGTCCCACGCCTACGTAGTGTTTCTTGGCTCTCGCTATATATTAAGGTGCATTTTTGTCCCTTCAAATCCCAAAGTGCCCCCAGAGCATCCAGCCTTTGTAGACCTCCATGACAGCCATATGGCTCCTTTGTGTGTGGAGATTGCATGCAAACTGCAGATGTGCAGTGGAATAGAAAGAGACGTTTGCCCTAATGATCACCCGAGCTTCTTTTGGTTCCCATAGATTTGTGGCAGCCCACGTTCGTAGGCTAAGATGCCGTGTCTCTGGATTTGGCTTTTGTGGAGAATCCAATACCTACTGACATGTTCTGCCCCCTTTTTTTGTGACACCATATACTTGTCCTCGTTAAAGTGGCTGCACGCTCCCTTTGGACCAGAGAGTACCTGCGTGAATGCATGCAGTGATTTTTTTTTTTTTTTTTTTTTTTACGGTGTTAGCAATTCAGGGAACATCCCAACCCTTGTCTGCTCTGAACACCTGCAATTACTCTCTCTGTCCTCCGTTCCCCTCTGCTCTCCATCTCTGCCGCTCCCGCGCTCCCTATCTTGCTGCTCACATTTTTCTTTGGCTAAAACATGGGAAGGAAAACAATAAATATAAAAGAAAAGGATGGTGGAAAAAATCTGATATATACGATTGATTATGAAGAGTACTACAAAGCTGTTTGGGGGGAGTAAATTAAAGAATAGAACCAAAATCTGTAAAATTGAAGTTATATAGTCTGCAACTTTTTTTTCTTTTTTCTTTAATTTGTGATATTATCAACACTTTAGTCCCAAACTAATAGAGAACACAGCTGATAAACACTTTTGGTAAATGGGCAACTCCTGCAACATGCCTTCACCTTGGCAATGAGGTGCGATCGCAGGCAGATTACAGGTCCTTTTATAGATCTTGGACCATTTAAACTGGCAGGATGGAAAGAATTTGGCTGCCAATCACATCACTTTTATTCCATTTTCAGAGCTGACTTTCATTCTTTAGAAGTCTCATCTAGTTATCTCATGCAATGCTTTTTTCTGCTGCCTACAACACAGAGAATAGCGAGAGGATCCAGATATGAAAACGCTATTCGGCTCCTTATCGTGTCATTATTATTCATTTATTCATTGCTTTTGTTGAAATACTACATTTTTATGTGTTGTTGTACTAAGAATTGAAGTCACATCTCAATCGCTTCATCTGAATAAATGAATCTTTTGTTGTCAATGTTTTTTTTTCTTTGTAGGATTATTATATTTCCTTAAAACTTGCATTTCGTTTGATGCATTCAAATCATGATGTTGCTGCAGGCCGAGAAGCTTCGGACTCGCCTGGAGGATTTGGAGAAGCTCCTAGCTCACTTTGATTGTCGGGGTAGATTTGGGGAGCAGTTCCTCCTGCTGAAGTATCACATGGCGAGGCTTCACGAACACGAGCACCAGAGGGAGGACGCCTTCCCCAACGCTCTGGAGGATTTCCTGACTTTCCAAGGTACCGCGGCGAAAAAAGTCGAGATAATTCCCCTTGGCCCGTCACTCCTTTTAGTGTTTCCGGTCTGGTCGTGACATCTGAGGAGACGCATGGCAGCCTTGGCTTTGTGAACATGAGGCTAGCTTATTTTGCCATTGTAGCTGCTGTGTCGCATTCTGGCTGGGAGATGATAACCATATCAGCGCATACAGGGCCCCGCGAGCCGGGCCAAGAAAATGTGATGTGAAGCCGCCCCTGGGCTGTCTGTGAATATGTCATCGCTCCATCTGTCTCCTTGGTGTGTGTGACACTGTTACATAGACGGCGCGCTAAAGCGATTAAATCAGGAAGCAGGCAACAATACCGACCTCTCCCAATTACTTTAACACAATGCTGATATATCCTCATTATGTTGGAGGGAAACAAGCTTACAGGCTCAGCTGCACGGGCCAAATGGAGACAAATCATAACAATATAGATCAAGGGGCCATGTGACCAACTTAATCCCCATTTATGTGACAGGCTGTGCATCTCTAATTCCTGGTTTATTATGATTATAGTTGCAATCATGATAAGGATTGTCTAACAACCCCCCCTTCCAATATCGCGCATTCCAGTCATGCTCAAAGACACGGGGTGGTCCTGTAATGATAAAATGGGTGTGTGGGAGCCATAGGAGCCTCCGTGTGGGCACAAACCAACCCACTCGGTTGCACACACTTATTAGCTCTTGTTTTATAGAGACAAAGTGTGTGACAAAACGAAGCAACGATCAGACATATTGTACTAATTGTTTTTCGCCCACAGACTTGCCTTTGCAGCCAGCAAGATTAGAGACCCCAAAGAACGCAAAGTGATTTTTGACAAAAGGTGTTAGCATTTGGACAGACGCCCACACGGGCTTGTGTTTATCTTTCCGAAGATAGGCAGACAGGCTAAGAGGGCTTGCTTGAATTAACACGGCGAATGAGAGTTCAGAACGAAAGATGCTCGCCGGCTACAAAGAGTAGGGAGAATAACAGTCTCGGTGAAATAATCCATGAAAGACCTAATGTGGTTTTTATTTGCTTTCTTCTTCCAGAGGCACGGGAGGCCTTCATAAAACAATTTTCCTTGCTGGAAGCCTCCACCGGCGCTCTTTTAGCTCAGCTGCATGGCGTTACAGTGACTTTGAACTGCAGCGTTAGCGCCTTGGAGGAAGAGGGGAAGGAAACAAAGAAGGATGAGAGAGGCGCGTGTCAAACGTTAGCCGAGACCACACTCGCAATCAGAGCGTCTGATGAACAGCTGAAGCAGGCAACACTGGACCTGGACAGCCTGGTATGTCACTAAAATGCAGTGAAGTTTTTATCCAATATTGTGTTTTTGTAGCCTAAAGCAGTGTTTTTCAATGGGGGGGGGCATCTGGGGCGGGGTGGACCCTTGGGCTGGAGGGACTCAGAAAGCTGGAGGGCTAATATGTTGTAATAAAATGTTTTAAATCATTATCATTAGATCAAATCTGTTTTTCAATCATCATTTAAAACTATTATTTAAAATAATATACTTAATTGTTAGAGAGCTTTGATTTAATTTATTCTGTTCTTATCATCAACAGTTTGCTAAAAAGTTGTTTTGTTTTCTGTTTTTCAGCAGGAGTACAATGAATAAATGAATGAATTTTATTTCTGAGGACAATATGCAATTAAAACATAAACATAAAAACATTTGATGCATTGTACCAGATTTAGCCTAAGGCTAGTTTACATCTGCAGTCCTCGTAATAGTGTTTAAAACATGTTACTTAATAAAATTCTTCTGCTAAACAAATATAAATATTCAATATTAAATTAAAGTGAGAAAAGGCATTGTAAAAGTTTGTTTTTTTACATATTTCGTAGAACTGTTTGTGGGTTTGCAAGGGAGCTCCCCGGCCAGAAGCTGGTGTTGTTTGAGGGGCTATGACATGAAAAATGTGGGAAACCTTGACCAAGAAACGAAAAGTTTAGCATTTTATGTATCCTATGGCATTTAAAATAATCAATATAGTGGATAATTATATGGATTTTTTATATATAAGTGATCAGATCAGTACTGATTTCTGATTTTTGATGCGACTAAATTTGGAAAACAGAACAAAAAATATATGCAATTTAGTACATGAAAGGACGGCAATAGAGAATAGCATTGTACAAGATTGAAGGAAATCAGTCTGAACTTCTATTGTTGTTCAGAGCAAAGTGGGCTTCTCTCTGTCAAATTACAAGTAACATTGAAGTTTTCCAAGTGTTGCACCCCCCCCCCCCCMAAAAAAAAAAAAAAACTTTGGATACAACTGATCCAGTTGTATCCAAAGCACGACCATGCAGAGTGAAACTGAGCACAGCATCGAAGAAAATCAATACATCAAGCTCTGTTCACTGAGAGAAGAGCAACTTCTTCAATTTTTAAATAAAAAAAACAGTAGACTCCAAACAGACAAAGTCCAGTCAGAAGAAAGCAGAGTAGAGGGGGTCTGAGGGGGCACGAGTGATGGGTTCTAAAGTACTTTTCAGAATGAGAAACAGGACCCAACCCTTGGTAAGATGTACCAACATTTTCAAAGTAGATGACTGAAAAAAAAAAAAAAAAACCTGCAGCGGATCACACCCTTTAACCTTCAATGGCCATAGAAGTGTGGGTTGGGGGTGGGGGGTGTTGGAAGGCTGCAACAAATTAGCTAAATCCTGACCAAGAAGTAGCTCTTCAAAGATATGGGGTTTGCATTGTCAAGAGGCATCCATGCTGCGCGACAAACCCAGGCCTAAATTTATCCAGCTTGGTGAGAGCACTTCAGAAAATCAAAGAAATTATAGATTTTATAGATTTGCAGTCACCTGAAAAAAATAGAATTACATGGAGCAAAAAGGAATATTTGATCAAACTGAAGAAGGGTTTCTACATCATTTTATAAATAATGAACATTTTACCTGTTGTAGATGCAGTCTTGAACTGCCTTAAAGATAATTATGGCAAACTATAAGATCAAACATCCTGAATTATATCAAATGTTGCAGTTTAAAATAATTTACTCAGCTAGTTTTTCACTGAAGTACAATTCTTAAATGTATTCACTCAATGTAAATAAAACACTCTACAGAGCCGCCAACAAATATGGCAGAATCAGACAAACAAAGTCAAAATAAGACATTCAGATGGAAATATACATGGACAAAAAGAACTTGGCATTCAAACATACAGCTTTTGCAAAACATCTAGACTAGTTTACTTTTTTTTTAATTAGCGTGTTGTCTTATTTCTTAATTTTACTCAACATTTTTTACCATAAGTACACATTTACACATATAAATTATCTTATTTCTTGATCCCAAAAGGCTAAATCATGGATGTTGCCATTGCTGACCTGTTTTTAGCAACTTCTTCTGTTTTCATGGCTAAACAAAGGCAAGTACTGTCAGCCTTTCACAAAATTCTGCTTGCAGATTGAGAATTTAAGACCACATTTAGGAACATAATGAAAACACAGTTGTGTAAAATTAGTTGCTTTATGATTTTTTTTCTTCTTTTTTGACCAGTCTTCATTTCCTTGTAATGATAGTCTTTTTCAAAAACAACTAGACTGACGAGTTACTCAGCTAGTACAAATGTTGCTAATGAATTCCTGCTGCCCTAAAACAGCTCCAGTCTCCAAAATTTCATAGTAGCCTAGCAGACATTATTTTATAAACATTTACACTGAGATCCTTTTCAATTACCTGGCAACTGACATGTAATTGTGTTATTATTTTAAACATGAACAGCAACATGTAGGACTTAGTGTGTGTACCAGTAATCAGGACTGTTAAGTGAAATACTGCATTATGAAAAACTATCTATTATCTATCGTCTTTTAAATTTGATAATTTTGATGCATTGAATTGTTTACAAATTTTGAATTGATTAAAAATGATTTTTGTATTGAATAATAATAATAATAATAATAATAATAATAATAATAATAATAATAATAATAATAATAATAATAATAATAATCATAATAAATCCTATTGAATTGAAGTATTTATTTACTCCAAATTGATTGGTGGGCCAGACTGAAGTCACACGCAGGCCTGACGTGGCCCGCTGTCTGCCAGTTGAACAACCCTGGTATAAATAATATAGTCTGTATGAACTGAAATTTAAGAAATTGAAGCTGTTTCAGGATGGGAGAATAACTTTGGGAGTGACTCCATTTGGAACATATTGATAAGTGAAAACTGTCTTGTTTGAATAGAAAAGTTTCCAAACCAGATTTCCATAAAAAAAATCCCAAAAGTTCATGTAAGCATTCTCATTAAGTTTGCATTACACGCTTATTTTAGCAGAAATATTATGAAAGTTCTGCCACTCAAAAAGCTATAAACTACTGGTAAGATATTATTTATAACTTTTACAGTGGCCAAACTATGTTTATAAATATTTTGACATCACATCAGCGTTTCATGTATGAAGGACTCTATGCATTTCAAAACCTGTTTTTCTTTTAAATAAAAAAGGGAATCCAAATGCTAATGCAGACAACTGAATCAATTGAATTTTCATTTCCACTGTTTGATATTAAAATGTATGACTACAGGAAAATATAGTTAACTTGGAATCAATGCTCTTAATTGTTTTTATTAAATTGCATAAATCACATTTCCCTTTTTTATGAGAGAAAAACAACTGTTTTGAAAAGGTAAACCCAACTAATGGTTGATGGTTGCAAAAATGAACATTGTTTTTTTCTTTTTTCTTTTCTTTTTTTTTTACCCTGCAGGAGGTTTTTTGTTGTCTCTGCTTGCAGAAATCTATTATTACTCCTGCCGTTTTATTATGGGTTTGGAGGAAATGAGTGAGCTTGTTTTGCCAATATATAGTTCAGTTTTCTGACTGTGTGTGTGTGTGTGTGTGTGTGTGTGTGTNGTGTGTGTGTGTGTGTGTGTGTGTGTGTGTGTGTGTGTGTGTGTGTGTGTGCACGCCCTTGTTTTTGTTACTTGAAGGGGATGATTTTTCAAGAAAATGCAGCCTTGTGGGGACCGGATGCTCCTTGTGGGGACCAAAGCCCGGTCCCCACGACTTCAGAGGCTGATTTTGGGTGGGGGGTTGGGTTTAGGACCAAGGTGTGAATTGAGTTTAGGTTAGTTTTAGGGTCAGGTAGGTACCGGGTTAATTTTAGGCTAAATGGTCAGGGTTAGGATATAAAATTTCCAAAAAAAATGAATGGAAGTCAATGGAAAATCCCCACAAGAATAGAGAGACATACAGTAGGTGTGTGTGTACAAACTGTAATTTGTATCACTTGTGTAATCCTGATGCAGCAGCAGTTTAGTTCCTAATCAGTAAACAACAGTTTCCCAAAATGAACAAAGATTTAAACAGTGTTGATTGCAGTTTACACATTTTATTTGCATCTTGAAAATTATGCTGATGCAACTAGGTGAAGGACTCTGAATTCAGCTGTGAGCGCTTTTCTTTTTCCCTCTCACTTTGGGCTCCTCCTTTTTTTGTTTATTAATTTTTTGTTTTGTTTTTTGTTTGTTTGTTTTTTTATTACCTACTGTTCTCCAGTAAATTCAAGACATGGATTTCAAAGTGAGCTCACGGTTCTAGACCGCTCCCAGGTCATACTGCAGTATAGTTTTCATGCAGCATTGTGTCACGTGTGCTGAAGTACTCATAGTCCGTGAATTATTTTTTAAAACCTATAATTTACATCTTTTCATTACAACTGTCAAAATAGTTTGAAGTCTCGACGCAGAAAGAGTTCTCATTTTTCAGACCTTTGCTTTTTCCTCCCTATGATTTTCACAGATCATTCCTTTCGAAGCCATGTCAGCGCCAAACAAATGGAACATTATGGTCAATGACTCACAGGTCCTAATGAAAAGGTACGTCAGGTCAATGGGCTTTTAGTGGTCAATTAAAAGCAAAGAGTGTTGCGTGATCTCTGGATCTACTGTTTTTGGGGAGCTTATCACATTCAGTGCGGTCAGACCACCTTGAATCGATGTTCTTGACCTTTCAGAGTGTTGCAGCTCTGTTAATTGGTAGTTCCAGAAACCTGTCCTGGTGATAGATAGAGTGGAAGTCATCAAGGCACAAACTTATTTCCGTTTCTCCCAAGCAAATGATATGGTCTGTTATTTCCTGTTACATGTTTTTTTCTTCTGTTTTCAGCCTGTTTGTGTTTATTGTCTCACTTGTAGGCACAGAGAAATGGCAGATCAGATTGAGACCGTGGCCAGCAGGGCAATGCGAGTTTCAAAGCAGACCTTTAGCTTCCTGATGGATCTACTGCAGGACAACTCCACTGAGGAGTTTATCAGGAATCTGACGGAGAGGTGAGCATAATAAAGAAGCCGAAGTCACTCTTAAAAAGAAACACAAGCTAAAGAATGCTTCTGCTAATGGTGTTATTACGAGAAAACACTTAGTATTTAAAAGATGGCGGCGGTGGTGGCAGATGTACAGGTGTTGGTCATAAAATTAGAATATCATGAAAAAGTAGATTTATTTCAGTAATTCTATTTAAAAAGTGAAACTTGTATATTATATTCATACATTACATACAAACTCATATATTTCAAATGTTTATTT